GTTTTTGCTATCTCTCTGATGGGTTTGTTTTGTTTTTTCAGCCTAATGATGGCTTGCTTCACTGATAATGACAGCTCTTTGGATCTCATCTTGAGAGTTGACAGCAACAGATTCCAAATGCAAATAGCACACTTGAAATGAACTCTGGACCTTTTATCTGCTCATTGTAATTGGAATAATAAGGGAATAACACACACCTGGCCATAGAACAGCTGAGAAGCCAATTGTCTCATTACTTTTGGTCCCTTAACAAGTGGGAGGCACATATGCAAAACTGTTGTAATTCCTACACCGTTCACCTGATTTGGATGTAAATACCCTCAAATTAAAGCTGACAATCTGCAGTTAAAGCACATCTTGTTCGTTTAATTTCAAATCCATTGTGGTGGTGTATAGAGCCAAAAATGTTAGAATTGTGTCGATGTCCCAATATTTATGGACCTGACTGTATAAGACTATTGATAGGCAACAACCTTTCATGTGGGGACCACGTCCATTGTACTGACAGATGATCCAAACACATCTCCCCATCCCAAAAGACTGGCATCTGTGGTTAGAACTTTCCATGAGATGGGAAGAAACGATTTCCCTGTCTCCAACACCTGCAGTAAAGCCCACAAATGTAGTGACTGCAGAACCGCAGACATATCTATGAGTCCACTGAGATCTCCTGTCCCAAGATGACAGAATATTCAGCTACAGAGGTTGGAGTGAAACTGAGCGAAAGGTACTTCCTCAAAAGAAGCTACCATCTTCCCTAGTACCCACATATAAACACAATTTGAGGGATTCATCTCCTTGAGAGAAGCTACCTGCATCCCAGGGACACGCATTTTTCCGGAGGAATAAAAAACCCTTGCCTGAACTGTATCCCAGATCAGGCCCAAATATTCTAGTCTCTGGGTTGGAAGTAGCACCACCTTTTGTCGATTGAAAACCTAAAAATCTAAAAGTCTGAACCAAGAGGTTCACCTTGTGTAGATGCACCAACAACTGCTTCCTCATCAGTAGATCAACCAAGTATCCGAGAATGGACACCCCCTGGATCATTAAGAGCCCCAGGACAGGAGCCAGAATGTTTGTAAAGACCCGCTGGGCAGTGGTCAGACAGTACAGCAAGGCCACAAACCAATAATCCTGGTCCTCTATGGCAAACTGGAAAAACATCTGATGAGAAGGAAATATTGGGTTATACAGACAAGCACCCTCCTTTATGTCGATGGACACCAGAAAATCTTCTGTTTGTAGAACGGCAGCCACCATTTCTACAGACTCCATTCAAAACTCTTCATCTGAAGGAACTTGTTTGGCTCCTTTGGGTCTAGAATTGGACACACGTTGCCATCTGGTGTAAGGACCATGAATATATTAAAAAAAAAAACTCCCTGAAATCTCTTGGCCTCGGGAACCGTCCTGATCACCCTTTGCAATAGAAGATGGTGTAGTGCCTGAAAAAGCAAAGATCTTTTCTCCGGATTTGCAAACACATTTGAACACATGAAGCATGGAACTTGTAACCTCGAGACACTGCCTCTCAAATCAACATCTGACTTTGTTGGTTTAGGTCAGGGCTTGACAAACTTGCTTAGGAGACAATTTTTCCATGCCACCTGCTCCCGGGGCCAGTGCAAGGATTTGTATCTACGTAGGCAATGGTCCATTTAGGCGCCCCCACAACAGTTCTCCTGCTACCCCATGCTGGTACTACTAGCCCACCCCCCCTCCAGCCACCCTACACTGCTACTGCTGTCGCCCCCCCCAACCCCCCAGACTCTAGCCACCCCATGGTGGTACTGCTGAACCCCTCACCCCCCCCCCCATCCTCCAGCCACCCTATGCTGGTACTGCTATCCCACCGCCACCACCACCATTCTATCATATCACTCAGGTACTACTATCCCACCCCCGCCATCTTCCACCCATCCCACGCTGGTACTGCTAAACCACCTTCCATCAACCCAATCCATGCCACCCCACGTTGATAATGCTGTACCCCTCCACCGCATACACCCTCTGCTCCAGCTATCCCACACTGGTACTGCTGTACCCAACCACCCCCCACAGCCCCCTGGCATCAAGCCACTCAGTGCTTGTACTGCTGTACACACACACACCCATCCCCAAGTGGCTAGGGATTTGGATTTTAGTGCCCCCCTCCTCTATCTTGCCAGCCAGCATTGTCTGGAGATGAGATCCCTGTCCCTAGGGAAGATGGGGTGGTGTATGGAAAAGATGGGGCTGTTTCACTAACTGAGGTGCAGAGTGAGGTTGATGGAATTCAGTGTCTGGCTGTGCCGTGTGTCACCTCATCCTGAGCACATGGTTGTCTGTAAGGAAGAAGGAGCCCTACTGGAGATGGGGCTGTCTGCTGTCACAGGACACAGGACTTGACAACCTTGGCTGCCCTCTGGGCACTCATCCATGGCTGTCCAGGCTCCCTCATTGGCAGTTTGCTTTCATGCTGACAGTACTGATCACTCGGGATCATTCTCTGCTCCATGGTCCCTCTGGACTGGGGGAGAGTCCTGTGTGACAGGAGGGCTGGCAGACAAGCTTGAGGTGTCCTCCGGGGAGCAGGTTCTTATGGCTGCACCAGTGTGCAGGAAGTTTGTTGTGTGCTCCAGAGGGCTCTGCACAATGGGAAGGATGGAGGTGACTCCGGGGGTCCCTGGACTCCCAGGAGAGAGAGGCTGCCTGAAGATATGGGAATGCGAGACAGCAATACAGATTCATCAGTGGATAGGGAATCCTGCGTAGCTGAGTATCCTCAAGCAGCTGCCTAAGCTTCCTGTATGCTGGTGCGGCCCTGCAGGAGAGCACCCAAGGGAGTTGGTGTAGAAAGGGAGCACAGGCCCCGTTCCTCTCCCGCACTCAGGAATCCTCCGTAAGGCCTTGTACTGGGCAGCCAGCATATGGAAAGTGAAAGCAAGGCTGAGCTGGCCCAAGCTGTGGGAGAGTGTGGGCAGCGGCCACTAGCTCAGGGAGGGCGGAGACCCATCAGTGAATGGGTTGACAAAAGCCCAGGCACCAGGATGCAATTTCTAGTCACCATGGTGACCTGGCGCCTGGGATCTGTTGAGCCCTGGCTTAGGGGGGACAACTTTCCCTGCGAAATTGGCCCTGAAGCTTTCCTCTAGAAGATGAGCCCTGAGACCAACAAAATCCCTGCACAGAGGAAGCTTCTGAAGAGTGAGCCATCGCTCCTCTATGAGTAGGATGCCTATATAAGAGTCTAGTTCTACCCCAAACAAGGGTTTTTCATGGAATGGAAAGCCTGTATTTACAATCACTTTACCTTGACAGTGTCCTTCGCTTACCCTTAAATTAATATTAGAATCTTTGCTCTAACTGATTTTACGTTGTTACATAGGACAGGTGCCAGTAAATCTCAGTAAAAGCGCAGTGTTAAAAGTTTTCACTTACAATTCTGGGCTGAGCACTCTCTCTTTGTGAGTATTTCTGGATTGTTTTAATGTGACCTTTTAATAAAGAAGTTGTGAAGCACTATGAGAGCTTTCTCCTTTTGCACTTTTTTTTAATGAGTGTTTTGAAGATCATAAGAAATAAGTGATTTCTGTGCTTTTGATCAATGTTACCCTGCAATATTTGACCATTTTGTAAAAGGTGGTCGATCAAATATTAGCATTTAAAACAAACATCTTTCACAATGTGATTAATGTGATAGCAAGTCTTCAATGTGGTAAAGTACCTGTGTTTCACAGCCTTTATGATACACACCTGTATCATGAAGGCTGTGAAACACAGGCACTTTACCACATTGAAGACTTGCTATCACATTAATCATGTTGTGGAAGATGTTTGTTTAAATGCTAAGATTTGATCGACCACTTTTTACAAAATGGTCAAATATTGCAGGGTAATATTGTTTGTTTAAAAGCTAAGTTCACCTGTAGTAAGAAAAAAAAAAAAAAAAAAAAAAAAGACTACATTTTATTTTCCTTTACACTGCAGGCTGCAAACTATTGTTTCCGAGATTGGAGAATCGCAGGTGCAATGTCAGGCTCCTGCAAACACTGCCGACAGCTCGTAGCCATGACGGTACGGGCAGACAGTTACTAAGCTGCAGTGTCAGTGAACTACAAGAACATTGATCAGTGCACTCATAATTTATTGACAACTATAAGCCGTCTGCCGCAGTGGTAAGTGAGACTTGTACTTTAATAATTCACAGATCTCTGTTAAAGAATGATGCTGTGTGGGCGGAGCCCTGCACAGCTGCATTGTTTTTAAAATGGGTCAGGGGCTGCAAGAGAAAAGCCACTGTCACAGAGAAAAGTGTGGGGGGGCCTGTGGTGGGAGGATGCTGAGCATGCAACACCCTAAATGTGGGTGTAAACTTAGCCTTTAAACACTGCACAGTTTGATGGGCTTCTATGTATTTTATTATATATAATTGGACTGATTTTACACAGTTTATTTTTCACTGCATTCAGTTGTACAGCATTTCCTGTTAAGGAATATTTTAATTTGCTTATATATTTATTGATTTAATGCAGTTCTTTTTATTTTTGTATACATTATTTGCTAAAGGAATTATTAATTTTTTTTATATATTAAATTATGGATAGCGCTGTATGTTGCATATAGAATATGTTCTCTTATGACAGTTTTAACCATACAGTTACTTTAAAAAGAGAGGACCACTGAAGAACAATCATTATGTAGTATTGATAAGCAGGAAGAAGACCTTGCATATGTAATCAGCCAACAAGGTTTACGTAAATTACATATATATTGATTACAAATTTTTAAACATTCTAGGCTTTTAGACATGCACGTAAAAGATTGGGTTAATGAAAATATTTTCAACTATGCCAAAAACCTTGTTCCTGTGTAAATTAATACAACCACTGTTTGGTCTGTGTTAATGAAATCAAATGACATATTTTATTTTCTTTTATATTACACTTTTATATTATATTAGAAATTATATATATATATATATATATATATATAGTTATATTTTTTTTTTTTCTTACCTCGTAAGGCAGCTTGTCAAAGTAGCCGTTATTTGTCCATTCCCTGAGGCTGGAGCTACTAAATTGATTACTAAGGCAGTCTATTCCACAGCCGTCTTTACCCTCATATTCATCGTCATCCAAATCGTTCATGTCAATTTTGCCTGTTTTTAAGGAAAGCATAGGTTTCTCTTTCACTCCATGTAATTCAACCGCATCTAGTTCTGTGTAATATTCCAAAAGTGTACTGTTGGTTTCCAGGCGAAGAAGGTTTGTTGGAAAATCTATTTCCTTTATACATGGTGTAAACTGACGAGCTTGAGGTGAATTCACACATGTAGGTTCTCCAGACCAGATAGTTTCCCATCTAGACATGGCACAGACACAATCAGTACTTCTATCTATTAATCAGAGAAATTAACTCTCTATTATTGTTCTGCATCTATTCATTTACATAACTAAAATAAAGTAACACAAAAAAAGGAAACAAGTGATAAAAATCACAGAACGTTTCTAATACTAAATATAACATAGGAGTATATTTGATTCTGATTGTTTCTTGGTAAACACTCAGATGATTTAACGTATAGTTTAATATTTATATTGCCATAACTTACCATTGTAAGAAAACCTATGCAGTCAAAAATTTAAGGTTTCTACTTAATAGCACTTGGATGTCTCTGACTTCATTACTTTCTTGGTGCTCGTTTTGGGTCAGTTAGTGAAAACGTGATCAAGCCATTAAATGAACATGGCTGCAACTTATTAGTGATTTCAAAAGGAAAGCTCAGCAATGACAGCCTCCATGAATCCTCAGTATAGGTTCTCTTTGAAGGGGCTAAGTAAATATCAATCTCCCATCATGGGAAGAGATCCTGTTATACACAACCTCTGGTTCACTAATTTCAACAGACATGTAAAGGCCTGTAGCTGTTAGTACACCTACCACTCTGAAAAAAAGTCTGGTTGCTACAAAATTTCTGGAGCTTCACTGATAATAGCTAAACAGGGTGCAGGGACACTTCACGCAAAGTTAGAAGCTCCACTGTTTCTTCTCATCCCCCTCCTCTATCAAAATTGGCATTTGACAGGTACTCGCTCCCAAGTTCACCTCTTCACTTCTCCCCCGCGCAGCCTCTTGGGACACGTGTCAGGTCCCAGGAGACCGTGGGAACATTCACAAGAGGCAGCGCAGCTTGTGCCGCAAGCAGTAATAGTTGGCTGCCCACAGTGAAGAAGCCGGCACCGGGGACCAAAGAGCAGTAAAGAAACCTGTTGGAGTGAGCATGGCATTAGATCTCTGGACAGGTGAGTGGTTATTTTTTTAAAAGTCAGCAGCTACAGTTTTTGTAGCTGCTGTTTTTATTTTTCACATAAAGGAATAAAGAACTGCTTTAATGTAAACCACTGAAATGCACCATCCAGCAAACACCACAAGATAGGAGTCTTGTCTTCCACAAACACCCTACCCAAGACCAATCGCCAAATTCAATCACAGTTAGGTGAGAGTGGGCATAGCCAGAAACCAAATGAACACAATAATGTACACTTACATACCCTATGCTATTTACTGATCAGAATCACTTAGTTTCATGTATGTGTTAATGGCACTAGAGACCTGTGTGCCCAAAACCAGTTTACTATAGTCAGATCTGAAATCAATTCTGACTTTGTATTGTATTTTAGCATTGCCCCTTATGCTCTCTTAAAGAGTGAAAAGATGAAATCCAGAAAAACTGTTACATACATAATCAAAACATATAAGTCACTTGTCACTTTTTTTTCCTGACCAATGGATTTTTATTCTGTTCAGACAGTTTTGTCAATTGTGTCTTCTGTCAATTGTCTGGTTCACTGTACAATGAATCAGTAGTTACATAATACAGAAAGAGATTCACTGCTAGGAAAAAACACATTACATTATATAGAAGTAACATGGCTTAAGGTGGCCATACACAGATTATTTTTTTTGTTTTCGATCAGCCAGTAGGCTGATCGAAAACAAAATGATCAGATGCCCCCATCCAGACCTCGCCGCTGAGCTACTGTATTCTGACAGAGGGACTCCTCTGCTATCAGAATACACTGATCAGCACTGCAGCCAATTGGATTGGCTACTCTTGAACAGAAATGCCAATAGATGGATCAAAATTTGTCTGGTACCTGCTGAACTGGCCACATTTTGATTTGTCTAAAACTGTTTCATGCTGTTTCTAAACAAAGCCATGCCACTGATTTGGCTTTGTTTATAAACACATCCATGTAATCATTAACTGCTTGCTGTCCACCCTATAGCAGAAAACTGCTACTGCGCAAAATCACGTATATACGTGATTTTGCAGTTCCGGGTAGGGGGCGCACGCGTGCCCTATCAGATCCGCTCCGTCATTTGCGGCCTCGGCTGTCAATCACCAGGTCTCGGCCAGTGATTACTCGCACGCACCCAGTAATCGCCGAGTAAGTATGTAAACAATACAGTTCTCTCCCCTGTCAGCTCCTGCACACTGCTTTGTATGGCTTTGCATAGCAGAGCCATACAAAGCAGAGTGCTTACAGTGAAGCACACACACGCACAGCACATAATGTGAAACAGCACACAGTTAATCCTTTGATCGCCCCATGTTAACCCCTTCCTGCCCAGTGCCATTAGTACAGTGTCAGTGCTTTTTATTAGAACTGATCACTGTATTGGTGTCACTGGGGATGCCAGTGACACCTAGCAAGTTTTCCCCCCAGTGTCAGAATGCCCGCCGCAGTCACGCTATAAGTCGTCGCCATTACTAGTAAAAAAAAAAAATCCATAATATATACCGCCATTTGTAAACACTATAACTTTCATGCAAACCAATTAATTTACACGTGTTGGGATTTTTTTTCAGCAAAGACATGTACTGTACCAGAATTTTTACTGGACATGTTTAATAACAAAAAGTCAAAAATACTTTTTTTCTCAAAATTGTTGGTCTTTTATTATAGCGCAAAAAAATAAAAAAACCGCACAGGCAATCAAATACCCCTGAAAGAAAGCTCTATTTATGGGGGGAAAAAAAAGGACGTAAATTTCATTTGGGTGCAGCGTTGCATGACCACGCAATTGTCAGTTAAAGTGACTCAGCGCCGTATCGCAAAAAATGACCTGGTCAGGAAGGGGGGTAAATCCTCTGGAGGGCAAGTGGTTAAGAAAGCACTGACATGGTAATCGCATGACTTTGTGTACAAACAAAGGGTTAGAGGTTAAGGTCCATTTATGTTTCCCAGAATCTAACGTCATGCTAAAAATGGAGCATGCATGTGCTTTAAAAAAATACACCAAGCACAATGAGAATCACTGGACAAGGATGTGAAAATGATAAGTGAAAATGTAAGGTTCTTCAGTAAAGTTTAGCAGCTAGAATAAGCTAAAAGGCATAGGCTTCAACAAAGACTACAAGAGAAAATTAGAAAATGTTTATTTGTAATTTCTGGGCACTTAGGTGATCTGGTGCAAGTTGGTTTTAATTCATAGTGGGGAGGGTGCATCACCACACACATCAATTAATAGTGAAAAGGTCAATCTGTGCAGTGATATACAGTATATATAATGGAATAAGCTGCCTTACTTAGAAAAAAAAATATTGACTGCATTTACTTCAGTGAGGTGTACACAGTCTTATTGCTAAACATAATCTAGTAGTAGGGGTGGGTGGTTACCTTTAAACCACGTGAAGCCACATAACTATTGCAGTTGCTTTCAATATGTCTTTCGTTATGAATGGGCAAATCCCAGTAGCTATGAAGTCAATCCTTCTAAAACGACTATTGGAGTCTCATTTCAGGACTTCTTTACGGCTAATAAAAACAACAAATACTTTCTGGCTTCTTATGGAGACTGCTGACTAAAAGAATACTGATTAATAAAGGGTTCACAATTTTTGATACACAACCTTTATGATGAGTAATTGTAAGATTTCATTTTTTTATAAAAAATAAAGTCAGTAGTTCTAAAGAGATTACAGTAAAGGAATGACACACATATAATACATGTACAATTTAAGGTACTAAAATGATATGAGGATAGGCTTTACCTGACTTCTGTAGGTGCAGTCTGAGAATATGGGTTTGCAGAACAAGCAAGTATTTTCACCACTGACCCAGGATGATACGTTTCTAAAATGTGAACTGCTGTAGGATAAACAGGTTCTTCAAATGCAAGCTCTACATAATCCCTACTGAAGAAGCTTGGTGATGTTCTCTTGAAAGAAGGTGGGAGGCTAGCACATTGATCCCACCATTTTCCATACGTCCGAAACACAGCTGTCTGCGTGAAATCCCCTGAACTTGGATAAACGTTGGGAGCCCCTGCTAAATTCCACATGGTATATGACATGCTGTTTTCACTTCCATAATGAGAACTGAAATCCAGGACTTCTTTGGCATACTGCACAGCTTCAACACACATTGGCAAAGCACGGCTGTTTGTTTCAATGGCTCTACGGCTGTTAATCATATCTCCCCTACTAGCTAGCCGGGCCCGGCGTCTGAGGCAAATGTAGTAAAACATGCTCAGAACTGTTAGCATGGGAAACCAAGAAGACATGTAGCTGAAAAAGAATTGAAAAACAAATGGTGTGGTCTAACTTGGGTGTGGTGGTAACTGAGAGATGACCCGGTAAACACATCCCTAGAATCAAACAGAAAACAATTAAGAAGTGCACTGAACATCGTTAAAAAAAAACCACACAAATGCTATTAAGTGTATAAACATTGTTATACTTTAAAATACCATTGGATGACTAGCCAATATACAAACAAGATATCTTTCTGGTGAATGCTTGAATAAGGATGAATTACTAAGTGACCCAAGGTCACCGAGTGTTCCTTTACACTTTTGGAAGGAAGAGGAGTAAGGAGCGGCTCATTTTCAGGAGAACAAAATCAATTACATTATTATTATTATTATAATACAGGACTTATATAGCGCCAACAGTTTGCTCAGCGCTTTACATTATGGTGGGAGACAGTACAGTAACAATACAGTTCAATACAAGAGGGATATGAGGGCCCTGCTCCTTGGAGCTTACAATCTAGGAGATATAATCAATACTATGGCACACAGAAATAGCATGTATAATATGTAACTATATCACTAGTGTGTATGGGACAAATTCTTTCCTATAGGAAATGTTCTGTCAGAAACAAGGCTAATCAAAATAATTTAAGCTTAATAAATATAATAACCACTATGAAATATTATTTATGCTAAATCAACAATTCCATGTATGATTTTTTTTTTTTATCTGAATATCGAATATGATCATTTCTTCACTATAAACCGATCGTATATATGATACAATCTTCCAACCAAGAACTACGGTTACTTTTTTTATAGTTTTGTTTTTTAAATGCAAGAGAACTATGACATATCAGGGTACAGAACAAGCATATTTACAACAGAGGGATAGAGCAGTAAGGATGCATTCAAGATTCAGCTGGACATATTGGGATGTTTTGCAGACTTTTTGTTTTTTAGCGTCCGTACAAGCGTCTTTGCAGGTGTCTTGAGCATTTTTTTAATTATTATTTTTATTCAATGCAAAGCTCAATATTATTAGGGAATATGCATGATATGTACTCACATTGAAGTCTCTTGGAGTCAAAAATGTATGGAGCTTGTAGCTGAAAAGATCCTCATGTACTTCTTTGAGCTACAGGCTTCAAGTGACTGCGCCCAGGTGTGACAAGACACAATTGAAAAACATAGGATTTTTGGATGTTGAGTATTTTGGAGTTTCGAGCTACAAAACACTCGAGTGTAAATGGGGCCTAACAGCATTATAAGCAAAAAGTGAAAAGTATTTCAAACTTTCACACACACGTACAGTATAGAGGTTGGGTAGCTAGAGATCACAGGGGTAAGTTAAGAATGACCAGCAGATTTACAGAGAATGGGTAGGGTATTGGGAAGGGGTTGGGATAGGTGGCATGAAGAATGAAGGGGAATCATGGAAAGGGAGAGTTGGTTGGGTGAGTATGTGTCCAGGGAGGTGGAAATAAGCAGGACCACTAAACTGGGTGATAAAATAGTGCCAGTTTAACGGCTCAAGCTCATAGGAATCATTTGAGTTTCCAGTCCAGTACTGGGGACAGAGAGCTTGGGGTAGTTAGGATTGTGATCAGAGGAAGAAAGGGGATGTTAATGAAGCAAAGAACTATTGAGAGGGGTAGTGTGAGAGCAATGGTGGTAAGTATGGAGTAGGATGTACTGGGAGAAGTGAGGTAAAAAGAGAGTAAGGCATGGGGTCTGAATTGGAATACTGGAAGGTAAAGAAGAGAGAGAAAAAAAAGGGGTTTGTAATGCGCAGACATACAAATCCAACCATCCAAACCTTAAGCACTGATGATGAACTATTGCATCATATTGGGGACCAGGAGGCATGGACAAAGATGTAGTACATATGAAGAAGGAATACCCAGCATGAACTGAATCATCTTGGCCTATCAATACTGGTGCAGATATCTGTCAGATGACAGCAATTCTTGTTTATCTACAACAGTATTTTACACTCTTGGTTTCAAATATCTAAATCACACGCATTTAAAATTTCCACAATTTAAAACCTAAAAATAAATAACCAAAAATAGAAGTTTCAGTTTTAGTAAATTAGACTCTTAATGTGCCCAATAGGCTGCAATATACATTAGGGTACACTTAGCTGCTAATAAACAAGAAATACCCTTGTGCTCTTCAGGGAATCTATAACAAGCAATACGCTCTAAAGGTAAACTCTAAGCAGACAACATAGACTACACAGATTACAGCAGTTCTGTATTCATTAACACATTCTTAAATTTATTTTCTAATTTGAACAGTGTAAGTACCCTAAAGTAAAATTTCAACTGATCTTAAACTGTCCCCTCCCCCACCTAGCACCTATTTTGACAAACCTGTGTGTATATATATATATATATATATATATATATATATATATATATATATATATATATATATAAAAAAAAATAAACAGGATGTATATACTTACCCACTTTCAGGTTGCACTGATGATGTCATTTCGCTGTGTTAGCCAGCGCCAGATGCAGGGGAGACAGCGCTCCGACAATGGAAGGTAATGCCTGGGAGTGTGACGTCACTCAAAGGCTTCAACGGTTCAGCTGTTGTTGGCTCTCCCTCCTCTCCCCTGCTGCAGCACTGGTAAACACAGGTGATCGGGATCACGTGAATGAACTGGATTGGCCTGAATATAAATATATATATATATATATATATATACAGTCAGGTCCATAAATATTGGGACATCAACACAATTCTAACATTTTTGGCTCTATACACCACCACAATGGATCTGAAATTAAACAAACAAGATGTGCTTTAACTGCAGACTGTCGGCTTTAATTTGAGGGTATTTACATCCAAATCAGGTGAACGGTGTAGAAATTACAACAGTTTGCATATGTGCGTCCCACTTGGTAAGGGACCAAAAGTAATGGGACAATTGGCTTCTCAGCTGTTCTATGGCCAGGTATGTGTTATTCCCTCATTATCCCAATTACAATGAGCAGATAAAAGGTCCAGAGTTCATTTCACGTGTGCTATTTGCATTTGGAATCTGTTGCTGTCAACTCTCAAGATGAGATCCAAAGAGCTGTCACTATCAGTGAAGCAAGCCATCATTAGGCTGAAAAAACAAAAACCCATCAGAGAGATAGCAAAAACATTTGGCGTGGCCAAAACAACAGTTTGGAACATTCTTAAAAAGAAGGAACGCACTGGTGACCTCAGCAACACCAAAAGACCTGGAAGACCACAGAAAACAACTGTGGTGGATGACCGAAGAATTCTTTCCCTGGTGAAGAAAACACCCTTCACAACAGTTGGCCAGATCAAGAACACTCTCCAGGAGGTAGGTGTATGTGTGTCAAAGTCAACAATCAAGAGAACACTTCACCAGAGTGAATACAGAGGGTTCACCACAAGATGTAAACCATTGGTGAGCCTCAAAAACAGGAAGGCCAGATTAGAGTTTGCCAAACGACATCTAAAAAAGCCTTCACAGTTCTGGAACAACATCCTATGGACAGATGAGACCAAGATCAACTTGTACCAGAGTGATGGGAAGAGAAGAGTATGGAGAAGGAAAGGAACTGCTCATGATCCTAAGCATACCACCTCATCAGTGAAGCATGGTGGTGGTAGTGTCATGGCGTGGGCATGTATGGCTGCCAATGGAACTGGTTCTCTTGTATTTATTGATGATGTGACTGCTGACAAAAGCAGCAGGATGAATTCTGAAGTGTTTCGGGCAATATTATCTGCTCATATTCAGCCAAATGCTTCAGAACTCATTGGACGCCGCTTCACAGTGTAGATGGACAATGACCCAAAGCATACTGCAAAAGCAACCAAAGAGTTTTTTAAGGGAAAGAAGTGGAATGTTATGCAATGGCCAAATCAATCACCTGACCTGAATCCGATTGAGCATGCATTTCACTTGCTGAAGACAAAACTGAAGGGAAAATGCCCCAAGAACAAGCAGGAACTGAAGACATTTGCAGTAGAGGCCTGGCAGAGCATCACCAGGGATGAAACCCAGCGTCTGGTGATGTCTATGCGTTCCAGACTTCAGGCTGTAATTGACTGCAAAGGATTTGCAACCAAGTAATAAAAAGTGAAAGTGTGATTTATGATTATTATTCTGTCCCATTACTTTTGGTCTCTTAACAAGTGGGAGGCACATATGCAAACTGTTGTAACTCCTACACCGTTCACCTGATTTGGATGTAAATACCCACAAATTAAAGCTGACAGTCTGCAGTTAAAGCACATCTTGTTCGTTTCATTTCAAATCCATTGTGGTGGTGTATAGAGCCAAAAATGTTAGAATTGTGTCGATGTCCCAATATTTATGGACCTGACTGTATTTATATAGTTAGTTAGGATTTGCCTGGATTTCTATTTTAATTTGACTTCGAACTGGCCTCTCATAGTCCTTTTACAGCAGAGCTCAAATTGGGGCAGGGAAAGGCAGCACAAAGAGCCTATGAGTTGTGCTGCAGTGGAAAGAGGATGCTGAGAGATGGATATACGCTCATCAGTCTGCTTATTTTTTTTACTGCCCAGTCATAGGGAGGGGTGGTGAGGAGTGGTGTCTAAACCTTAGAACTTGATAGACATAAATACAAGTTTTTGGCAGGTAGAAGAGCTCCTTTATATGCATTTCCCCAGCTGTTTATGTAGCGTTTAGCTGTAAACTGTGCACAAAGTTGTCTAAAAATGTTATTAAAATGTATTCACTATGTATGATATTTTTTACAAGCATTTTCACAAACATCTTGATTTTTGGGGGTAGTAACTGGTCTACCTATTGCAAAAGATCAGAACTAATCTTTCTTACTTCTTACTGTAAAAAGGTAACATCGGAGCGGTTACTTTGGGTTATTGCACTTGGTCCTGCATTATTTAAAAAAAGGGTAAAAAAACATGCTAGTCAGTTGAGCTGCACTATAGGATGAACAATAGGGATGTTCTATAAGACAAAAAGAAAACAGACACAGCAATAACTT